ATAATAAAAAAAAAAGAGCAAAGAAGAAGAGAACGAACAGTGTTCTTTGAAATGATTTCGAAGTCAACCAAAGTGACATCGAATTTGTAATTTGTAACATATTTTTTTAATAAATTGAGGACAAAATAAAAGTAAATTTCAAAATTTCAAAAGTTTAAAAATTTCATATATCATATATATTTTCTATTAATAATATATTTTTTATTTCCCTTAAAATTTTTATAAATTCGCCTCTTGATATAAAATTTTACGTCCATTACTACCTCGCAATATATGCGTCGGCAAACGCTATAGAAACCCAAATTTGAAGGAATTAAAAATGATCGTAAAGCGTTTTTCTTATTCTTCTAAGCCAAGTTAAGGGCATTATAGAAGTGATTAATGTTCTTCACTAGATGTTGTCGGGGATATGCCAAAGTCAAGTGTTTAATGGGGATGGTTACGGGTGGTAGAGAATCCATGATTTTTGGTTTGAAATTAAAATTTTGAGGCGTTGACTTTTTAATAGTTTCATGGTTTAATTATTATTTAAAAATCATTATATTTTATATGATTAAATTTAGATGAATGTGGTTATCACTCATGGAAATATATTATATTTTATCATCAATTATTTTTCTCCACGGATAGCATCCCTAATAGTTTTAAAAAAATAAAAGTATATTCTACGTAAGTGTATTTGCATACCACAAGATAGTGATAGAAAAGTTTAGAGTAATATTATAGTTATAAAAATTTCAAAATTTTAAACATATTTGATTGACAAATGAAAAATCTATTAATTACACATTTACATATAATTGTAATGATAAAGATACTATACATATATAATTATAAATAGGTATAAATATAATGTCAAAAATAGCCCATAACATTTATCTAGATGTTCACTTTAACCCATATATTTCTAGAGTATTTCAGTCTTAACGTTTTAATTTTTGGTAAAATAACTCATTTTGATGAATATCGTTAGTTGACTAATGACACATGTCACATCATCATATTGAATGATGAGATATATGTTACGTCACCACCTTAGATAATATGTTATATATCATATTATTATAATGTTTGATGTGACATATATAATGTTTTTATTTAGATGATATGACATATATCATATTATCACCTTAAATGATGTGATACATGTTACGTCGTCATCTTAAATGATGTGTTACATATCACATCATCAACTTAACACATATAAAATATCACATTATTAATATATTTTAAGTTACATGTTACCTAATATATTTTAACTCATCAAATTAGATCTAGTATACCTATAATGGTGAGGTTTAGGGACCAAATTTTTTTTATGTTATGAGCGTCAACTTAAAAAGTTATACTAGAAATTTAAGTGTATAAAATCATAAAATTTCAAGAAATGTGAAATTAGATCATCAACAAAATATATATAAAAAATATTTAAATTATATGTGGATTTAAGATTTTCAAGAGTGTGATTCCCTCTCAACCTATCTGTGATAGGGTTTGAATTTAAGAACTCAAAATTCTAAGATGTCTTCCTTACCATTAAGCTTATATAGTTTCCTCACCGTTAGGTGAATGCCGATCACATATTAGGTATTAGTTAAGGTGATAGTAAAAACACACACATGAAGAATGCAATTAATGAATATTTAGTGAAACTGATATATTGATTCTTTTAAAAATATAATTATATATTTTTATTGGAAATTATAGACCGTGGTTAGTATTATATACATGAATTAGGCAGATTCTTATTTAATTAATAAAAGGCAAAATATGAAGGAATTTTCCATATTGTGAAGGTGACAAAAAATGGTGGAAACAAGCCCTAGAGGGGTGCAGGGCAGAGTAGGGAAAGGTTGTTATTTGATCGGTGGAAAAAAGGATTATAAGCAAATTTTTTTTTTCCAAATCTATAAATGCTGAAAATGAAGTGGCTGTCTATTCCAAATCTAATTATGTTCTACTATATAGGACTATGGTCTAAGCAAAGCAGTTGTTCCACTAATTATTTTTCATGAATATATGGAATGAAAGATTAATAATAATAATAATAATAGTAAGATACATTATACTTCAAATGAAATAATTTAAATTTAAAATTTAAGACAATATTAATAAAAACAATCATTTTTTATAAGATAGAAGCCGTTAGTTTTATTTGAATTAGAAAATATTCAAATTACAATAAAGGTTTACGATCATAACCATAAACTAAACACATAATAAGAAATATTTTCCTATAATCGTTAATATAAGAAACTAGCTACTTAAGATCACACAATGATCATATAAAGAAAATGTTAAAAAATCTAACTAAATAAATTCGAATAAAAGATAGAAATTTATCTGACATCATCGACAAACGAACCACAAAAGAGAATCAAGCTATTGAAAGACAACTGACAAACTACAAATCAAAATCAAGCGACGTGAGAAAACTATCCTAGAACACTAATTGCATATCTAAATCCAATATGAATGTCCAAAGCAGAGAAAATCAACATGATAATAAATAAGCGTCATATTGATCAGTTGTGACAATATAAAATCTAACTTGAGAAAATGATAAATGAAAATAATGGCCAAACGATGGAAAATATGTCAAAAGACCAAACAAACTGAACAAAAAAATATTTATAAGAAAGAAATAGAATAAACTTGAAAAAATTATATTTAAAAGCCTGTTGGGTATTTAATAAAACTTAAATAAAAAATATAATTTAAAACTAAAAATTGACCAATAGAATGACTCTTGACGCAAGTTTAAGTACATGAAGGCAACCATATCTTTATTTACTCAAAATTCTGGAAGCAAAATCAAATGGGGTTGTCCGTGTGTGTGCTCATTTCTCCCACACAAAAAGCATATTCTAATTTTATTTTGGACCCACCAGTTATTGACGGTATAAATGTGGGAAAATAAGACCAAACAAACTTTTATTACACATAAAGAGAGGTACGAAATTGTATTTTCCTTGAAAGATGGACACTTGTTTGATACTCAAACTAATCTAAATTTGTGTCTTTTAAATAATTGTCTTTCAAATTTTTTGTTACATAAATATTCTTTCAAGTTAAAATTTATTTTTGGATATACTAACCAATTTATCTCAGTGGTTTAAAGAATCATATTGTTCCTGGAGATAACGAGTTCGAGCACCAGTGACTATAATGATGATTAAGCGTTAATTGTCAAATGATTAAGAGTACTTATATTAGATAATACTTTGCAATCACCTTTAACTTTTTAATAAAGAAAATCATTTTTGAGTAAAAGAAAATTTAACACTATAATGTTGTGGTATGTAGGGTCAAAATTCATTAGGAGTAAATTTTATTTCTCTCTTTTATTAGAAACGAATCGTTCAAATTCAAGTTGTCAAACTTCTTTTAAATTTAATTTTAAACAAATTTAAAATGGTTGATTGATTTGTTTTCCTGAATAGTTTAGGTGATTATAAGATAATATCTGTTCAAAATATTTTTTAATTATTAACAACGAACATATATCCGAAAATAAGTATTTAAAATGGTTGATTGGTTTGTTTTCTTTGATCTTGTGAGTGTTGTGTGAGTGACAGTCACATTGTGTCAAATCAACCAATATAATACACATATATAGTCCAAAACACCTTTAATTGCCACATTTTGTTCTCCACTTCCTGTCAGGATAGGGATTTCAATTTTGGTCTAGTGCTTTGAGTTTTCTTTCTAAATTAGTTCTATAAGAGCTCACTCTACAACCTAATTTTTAAATTTCCAATGTTTTTAATATGTATTTATCAATATAAATTTAATTTTGGGTTTAAGAAATAAAATAATTAATGTAAAGTTAATCATTTTCTTTTAAAGTTCTCTTATGCTTTTGCTAAATAATTTTCAAAACGTGAAAATCAGCAGGGCAATGTCATTTGAATGAATGAATGCCCTAGTTTGCAGGAATTAAACGAAGGGGTGGGTGGGATCGTTGCTCCATTGAAAATTTAAAATTATCATATATTTTAGATTTTTTATACGCATTTTCTATTGAAATTTTGTTTTTATCCCTTTGAATTTTAGAGACTCACATCTTCAACATAAAATTTTGGGTCCATCCATGTTAATTTGGGCATTAGGTTGTCATGTTAGCTTCAAATGAAAGGAAGGGATTCCAGAGTACTAATTTGGGTTAAAGTCTACAGTAAGTCCTTGTACTAAAACAAAAAGTTCATTTCAATCTATCTATTATATATATAAAAAAAGAGATTGTTTTAATCTCTATACATTTGAAAATGTGAACAGTTTAATCCAAAATGTTAAAATTATCTTAAGTTGGCTTTAATATTTTAGTTTAAACACCCTTTAAAAAAAGTTTAATTTGAATTAAATATTCACTATAAATACCAGTGACATAGTTGAGATTGATCTATGGAGATTAAATTCTTAACTCTGTAACGAACATAGTTATAAAAGTAACTAAATTATAAAAATCAAAAGAGTTAGGACTTAATTTTATTAATTTTGAGAAAGACCACGACTAATTTCAATGATTTCAAAACTTTTGATGCACTAAAATATAATTAAACCATTAAATTTAGAGGATGTGACCCCTCCTACCTACAATGTGCCTTCATGCTGGATGAGTACGACCCTCTTAACTAATTTGTTCAATTACAACTTTAAATTTTAATCCTTAAATGTTTTTAAAGAAATTAGTGTCTTGTTTCATTAACCTGATCGATAATTAATTAGATTTATATATTTTAAACACTACTTTTATTTTCCACAAACCTTTAAACAATGCATTATTACATGATACAAATATAGAAAAAAATTAATATTGTGGGATGATTTTAATAGTATATGTTCATAATCTTTTTAATTATTGACAACGCACATATACCTTGCAAATATAATCGAGAAAATAACGTGCATGCCTTGGGATCAAATTGTAGTCCCCGGCAACCTTATAAATAGACCTCAAACTCCCACAGATTTATAATGTAAAGAGTTTGGGGCTTTGGGCTGCACTCTAAAATCTGATTGATGGTTTCCATTACATGAAAATTTATGTGAAAGCAAGGTCCCAGGCTTAGGCTTGTTTAGTTTCTTTGTCATTTTTGTTAAAGATATTTTTGCTGATGCAATGGCGATTGATTCTGTTCATCATCCTAAAGACGAAAAGAAAGACGAGCAGAAACAACTGGTGTTCGATGCCTCGGTGCTTAAATATCAGTCCATCATACCGAAACAGTTTATATGGCCCGACCATGAAAAGCCTAGCGTTCATGCACCACTGCTCCAAGTACCATTGATTGACCTAGGAGGGTTCCTTTCCGGTGACCCTGTTTCCGCAATGGAAGCGTCGAGGCTTGTCGGCGAGGCGTGCCAGCAGCACGGTTTCTTCCTAGTGGTTAATCACGGGGTCGACGCCACACTTGTGGCTGATGCTCATAGTCACATGGATAACTTCTTCGAATTAACACTCGCTGATAAGCAAAGGGCTCAGAGGAAACTCGGAGAGCACTGCGGATATGCTAGTAGCTTCACCGGTAGATTCTCCTCGAAGCTGCCTTGGAAGGAAACGCTTTCGTTCCGGTACTCGGCCGAGAAAAACTCTTCCAAGATCGTTCAAGAGTACCTCGTCGACAAATTGGGAGACGAATTCGAGCATTTTGGGTAAGAAATATGGATGTTGTCAACTTAACATTAAAAAAAGATGAAATGAAAACTGTTTTTTCTTTGTATAGGAGAGTTTACCAAGACTACTGCGAGGCAATGAGCAAGCTTTCACTAGGGATAATGGAGCTTTTAGCCATTAGTCTTGGTGTAAAAAGATCAAATTTCAGAGAATTTTTCGAGGAAAACGATTCAATAATGAGGCTGAACTACTACCCACCATGTCAAAAACCAGACCTCACTTTAGGAACAGGACCTCATTGCGATCCAACGTCTTTAACCATACTTCACCAGGACCGAGTTGGTGGCCTTCAAGTGTTCGTAGACGAGTGGCGTTTAATTAGCCCAAATCCCGAAGCATTCGTCGTCAACATCGGCGACACCTTCATGGTAAAAATAAAGTTTTTACCTTTTTTTTTCAATGCTTAATTTTTAATCTCGAGGGGTGTTGGTGTTGTCAGGCACTTTCAAACGGGAGATACAAGAGTTGCTTGCACCGTGCGGTGGTGAACAGACACACCACAAGGAAATCACTCGCTTTCTTCCTGTGTCCGAAGGGAGATAAAGTGATAACCCCACCAACAGAGTTGGTGGACGCCATTAATCCAAGAGTATACCCAGATTTCACTTGGCCTATGCTGCTTGAATTCACACAAAAGCATTACAGAGCCGATATGAACACACTTGAAGTATTCTCCAACTGGGTTCAACACAGAAACAGCTGAACTTGTCATTACAGTCCAGGCCATGTCTGCCAAACAAAATGACATTGATGTGCGGGTGAGAGAGAAAAAATGTGATTTTTTTTTCCTGCTACGAGTTAAAAGGAAGACCAAAAAGGCAAAGTTGCTACCTTTTTTTTTCTTAGTGATGAACAAAAGGCACGACAATGGATACTGTAAGGAAGTAAGGGAACACAATAAAGATATCAATCAGCTTTTAACTTTTTCTTTCATCTCCATTGATAATATAAAAAGGGCTATCAGTACAATTACCTCTCTTCCTGTAAAAACAAATTTAGGGTTCAATTTTTACTAGTTTTCCTTTATTTCACCCAGCAACTTCATCTACTTCTCAAGCTGCTATATCTCTCTTCTAGTACCAAAGGACACAGCCCTATTGAATTTTGTATAGCTTTTGTGCCTATTAAAGCTTTCGGCTCACTGCATATCATTCATCTCATTTGATTTATATTGGTTAGGTATAACATTGGAACAGTATACTTAAACTATGAATCCCATTTGAAGCTAGTCCTTAATTTTTAAAATATTTTATATTAATCCACCAACTATAAACTATATTCTAAATTGATCTTTAAAATTTAAAACATTTGAAAATCAATTTTTAAACTATCAGTATCACTCCATTTTAATCTTTCTACTGTCATTAACTCTAGCGGTTAAAAGTTAATCTGTTTTAGAAGTTCATGAGATTTTTTATGTCACATGTTCAATCTCATGACCTTAAAAATATATTATTTTTTTAACCAATAGAGTTAATGTCAAGTTAATAAAAATATTAAAAATATAATGATATTGATAGTTTAAGGAATAATTTGAGGATTGATATAAAATATTTTGAAGCTTAGCGATCAAGTTAGAACAGGGTTAGAGTTTGAGACTAATATAGAATGTTTTAGAGATTAGGGACTAATTTAAAATGAGAATCATAGTTTAGGGATTTTTGTGCAATTATCGTATCTACATTCACTATTAAGGAGGAAATAAATCCAACATGTATAACCAATGGGCGTGTCCCAAATTACAATATGATTCTCAGCAAAAGACAATCGTTGGGCCTGCCTATTGAATGATTACGAAGAGCAGAGTGGTAGAATCCACTGAGGATTGCAGGGCTTTCGCTTAAATATTGTATTCTTCTGCGAATATATATATATATATATATGTCCAGATTTCTGTAAATAGTATATTGTTTTTTTTAATAGTAAATTAAAGGTAGTATATGTTCAGATTTTTTTAATTATTAAATTAACGAGATGATATGAAAAAGACATATGAAGATGAGATGGGTATAAGATCATATTTTAATATATCTCGGATCGGGTCGGATTTCTAAGTCATATATTCGGGTCGGGTGAAACTTCAATTTCGTCGGGTCGGATCGGGTCACTGGTGGAGGACCCTTTCTTCTCGGGTCGAGTGGCCCAAAAACCCGACCCGACCCATTGCCATCCCTAGAGGAGATACTCTACCTAATTAGTAGAGGTTTTATTATATAATCTTTTTAAAAAATAATACTTTTTTTTTAACTATTAACGTCGTTTAATAAATTTTAAAGACATGTCATTCTAAAATAATGTCTAAAAAGAAGATATAACAATGAGTACTTGCGTTAGTTTTATTAATGATTTCCTTGTTTCAATTGCTACAACAAGTTTGTTCCATCGAGATTCAGAATCAAAGAACATCGTTCCTAATGTCATGTTAGAGGTGGGGTTGGAATAAAGGACGAACTGTTTGTCCTGTTTCTTTTAAATATATATCTCAGTCGATATGAATAAACATGTGTTTGGTGACAGTGGCATTGATCAACTCAAATAAATAATGGTTTACTTGGCAAGCTTATTCATGCATGATACACCTTTTGAAGGTTTATAATAATGCGAGGATAAACATTACCTCTAGTTTCGTGGAATCCCTTCCCTCTTCCTTGGCGGCAGATAAAAAAAAAACATAGCTTCAAACTGAAACCATTATTTTGGCACGTGATGAGTGTGTTTAAATAGTTTTATAATCACCAAAAGGTAAAAACTTTTCTTTTAATGGTTTCACACTTGTATAAGTTTTATTGTATCTCTTTCAGATTGTTTATATACTACATTTTCATTATCATTCTTTCATATATTGTAATCTTTTGACATGACAAGTTCTTTAAAATGATCAGACTCACACGATCTATCAGTTAAATATATTATTTAACTGTCAGATTTATTTCTCATGTTAACCTACAAATAATCATTACCATTTTAGATTTGACACAAGAACTCAAAACCTGTATATAAATCATCATATAAGGTTAGAGAGAGGAAATTTTCTCTCTCTCCCTCATCATCTCTTTCAACTCATCAAATTATTCTCTATGATTCTCTATTTCAATCAAAAGAGCTAAATCATTAAAAACAAACACTTTATTGTCCACATCAACATGTCATTTAGGAAGAGATTAAAAACACAAATATTCAGTCAAATGAGACATGCTTGATACCAAGAATTATTGACACAAACTCAAAACCTGTATATAAATCATCATATAAGGTTAGAGAGAGGAAATTTTCTCTCTCCCTCATCATCTCTTCAACTCATCAAATTATTCTCTATGATTCTCTATTTCAATCAAAAGAGCTAAATCATTAAAACAAACACTTATTGTCCACATCAACATGTCATTTAGGAAGAGATTAAAAACACAAATATCAGTCAAATGAGACATGCTTGATACCAAGAATTATATAATCCCTTATATATATATATATATATATAATGTTCTACTTCATTATATATATATATATATATATTATATATATAATATGAAGTAGAACATTATTCCATGCATCACATAAACAACTATAAACTCATAAAGATTCTTCATTCCTGCTGATAGGTTTGGGACATAAATTAAATTTAAAAAAAAATATAGTATCATATCTTCAACTAGGAACCATACAATAAGGATTTAGATGTGCATGCCTGTATAATTTGGATATTTGGACAACTATAAAGTAATGGTTTGGAGCCTTGGCCTTTATCCTTAACATCAAAATCTCCTGCACGGTTGTCCATCTTATATATATATTAAAGCATTTCTACTTGTCGTTAACAATTTATAGATGAAATAGCTCCTACAGAATTCATTAACTATGAGGGAGATCAAAACAGTTGTTCCACCTAGTAAATCAAAACCTAACACTAACCTCAACATATTATGTTATAATTAGGGACTGAACTAAAACAATTTAGGTTAAAGGGTACAAATTTAAGGAATTATATTAAAAATTTAAGAGGTATTAAATTACAAAATTTTAAAGGTGTGAAGTGAAATCATCAATAGAAAATATTCAAGATTTGAAATTTCCAAGAAGTACGATCGTACCCAACACTCCTCGATTGTCTCTGGTTCCTATCAACTTAATTAGGAAAGTATTCATGCATAGAAAAATGGATTAACAATGAAGTTAATCTGGTTTTCATTAACATGCAATGCATGGAAGACAATTAATATGTGTGCTTAGTTTATCAAATCATTAATCTTAAAAAAAGGACAATATTTATGATAATAAGAACACATAAAGCTCCACTCCCTGACACATGTGATGATAGGAAAAATATAAATGTACCACACCTTTTTTTTCTGAAAGCAAAAAGCAACTTGCAGAAGATGGAAATGTGTCAGATATATATTATATGGGTCATACTAAGTAGAGAAAAAGATCAATCTTACTCAAATTCTAATGAAAAACGTGGGAGCTTTGATGGGAAAAATCTCCATTAAAGAAGCATGGTTTAATCTAGCTGGGGAGTTCGAGCAAGGATGAAATTTCTTCATTTACTTTTTTCTGCAGATAAGGTACATCAACGCCTCTCAGATCATTAACCTGTAACAGCAAAAACAAAGAGTTGCATTTGGTAAATAAGCAGCCTAAAACCATGCAAAAACCCCTAATTAACCTAGTAATCAATGAAGAATCTTACCTCAAGTCTTATGGTGTGAATTAGTCCTCCATCAATCCGTGTGGAGATACAATTAACAGCATCAAGTCCTTCGTCAAGCAGCAGCTGGACCACCCTCGAGAGGGTCAAAGCTTGAGCACCATGACCGGTTCTGACCACAACATCAACACCGTCCAACGATTTCCGAACGACGGCAGTGCTTGGGAAAGACTCGTTGGAGCTCGTCCCTTGGTGAAAACCACTCGAAGTCGAATCAAACGATACTTTCTTTAACTCATCTCTTTTCGCACTCAGTTCGTCGATCCTCTTCTGCAGGTCCTTTATATAGCTCACTGCTCCGTTCATATGATCCGATATTGCACGCTTTCCCTGAAAAAACCCATGAAAAGTAACCCTAAATCATAACTATATGCAAAAACAAGTAAAATCAGTAGATACATGAAGCAGTTTTACCTTGATGTACTCTAGAGGGAGAAGGGTTCGGAGAGAAGCACAAAGGGTGGACATTCCTTGCCTTCTTTGCCTCTCAATATCCCTATGCATCGACTTCTTCTTATCATCATCATCATGACTGTCTTTTCTCTTCTCACTGGCCAATAATCTTCGTTGCCGGCCTCTACTGCTGCCACCCATGGGAACAAAATCCAAAATCTCATCCTGTGGAATTGTGTTTTGAGGGTCGGAATTGGAAGAAAACTGGAAGAACATCTCATCCATTCTTCTTTAAGTGGGAACTGAGGGAGTATTGATTTTGAACTTTGTCTGGGATTTGGGGTTGAAGACAGCAAAATAAGAGTTCAGACAAAAGCAATGGATACGTTTGTTAGGGTGAGAGATCTTTAGATGGGGACGAAGATGTCAAGATTCCATACCATCCTCTATTAGGTATAATTGTAAGATCATGAGAGATATGAACTGATATCTAAACCCATTTAATATGTAGTCCCTTTTGCAAACTCTATTTTATGCTTTAGCTAATAATTAAGCCACCTAACCCCAATTAAAGAAAATTGTTTTACATGTTTTTATATTGATTAATGAGAACAAATGTTTTGAAAAAAAATACAAATGCTGGGAATAAAACATTAAATTTAATTGAATATCTTTTTAAATTAAGCCCCAAATCTTAATTGGGTAAATAATACTAAACTTTAACTATGATCATATTTTGGTCACTCAAATTTAATAATTTGAATTTCATCATTAAATTTTTGAGTTACTCCTATTTTGGTCACTCTATTATTAATTATGTAACGATTTTATGTCATGACATTTTTTTTAAATTATGAAAAACCTCCAATGCTTTCTTTTCATTTTATGAAAATATCCCTAGAATCTTTCTTTTAAAAGTTTTAACCTAGTTTTTCATATTCCCCTTTGATTTTCTCACGCATGAGTAAATCACAATAGTGGGAAGTTGGAAAAAGAAGAGACGAGTAATATATTTTGATAATATGTTGATTAAACAAATATAGATAAAAGTTGTTTTCTGAGTTGAATTTTATGAATTTTAAAAAGAATATATAAAAATCTAAATTGATAGAGTAATAGGGGATGATGAGGAAAACTCATCAGTATCCAGAGTGATTAAAGAAGACATATAAAATGATAGTTTTGACGATATCGTAACATGAGATAAAACTCTAAAAGATTCTTTTTGTTGGGATGATGATATAATAGAAATAAAAAATAAAAAATATGTGGACAATATGTGTCTTTCATGTCATCAAAAGAAATGTCCATGTCATCCTATTATTTTTTATTTAACATATGAATGATCAAAATATGAGTAATTTAAAAGTTTAGTGGTGAAATTAAAATCTTTAAACTTAAGTGATCAAAATATAAACACAATCAAAATGGATCAAACTGAGTGACGAAAAAAACACAATTTACCTATCTTAGTAAGGATATTTCTTAATTTTAAATATGAATGTGAACACTCACATTCATCTAAATATTATCATTAAAGATATTAGGTGTTTTATTTTAATTCCGATTTAATTAACTTTATTTGTTTGTTTGTTAGAGTATTATTTAGTAGTGCTTGTTGATTGGGGAACATTTTTTCTCCCATTGAGGCACCTACCGTTGGATAAGCTTATTGTATAATACCCTTGAATTGTATTTGACTCAAGGAACATTGAGAGGCCTTTGCCTATTCAAATAGTAATTATCTAAAGAGCAAGAACCGACGTATAATTTTATATTGTGAGACGAATTATAAAATTTTATGAGAAGCAAATTTACAAAATTTTAAAAGGACGAAAACATATTATCAAATACAATATCTAATATATGAGAATTTGAAATTTTCAATGGACAACTGCCTCCACCTACCCTTTCGATCCGTTCTTGCTAGTGAGCCAAGGTGTTTGAAATTTTACCTTTTGTTCAACTTCATATTTCTCTATATGGATTTATTTCTTTATGTATTATGATACTATGAAAAAAATACTATAAATAAGATTCATAGAATTCAAACAGCATAAATTATACAAACTTTAATAATAGATGGCATTGATATTTCATCTTCTTATTGAATGGACTTAATATACTAAATAAAAAAAATAATATTATATTAAATTATAAAGATTAAAAAAAATAGGAGCTAATTTTGGATTAAATAAACTTTTTAAAGACTAAACTAGATAAAAATAAAAATTGCAAAATTTTACATGTCATTTATCTTTTTTTTTATTAAAGTCAGAGGGTTAAAATTGTTACTATTGGACTTTGGATATTTTTTCACTCCTCTTTCTCTTTCTTTTTAAGTGATTAATTATTACGAAACTCACTCAAAATCGAAAAATTAAATAAAAAAAATCAATTTTATTTTGGTTTTAAGATTTGAGGGGTTTAGGGTGTTAGCTAAAAATCCAAACAATGAAAAGTATTTTTCGAGAAGACGAACAACACATCTTAAAACTACCCTCATCAGATGAATATTAGCACGTCGAACCTTTAAATAGATTTCGCCGATTTTGAGTGATTTCATGAAGAAAACATTCTTAAGAAAATAAAGAGGAGTGGAATGTGAGTATTTTGATATCACTCTTGTTGTGAAAGATGATCGATGACGGATAACGATTGTCCACATCAAAACGACATCATTTTGTCCACATTAGCACAGTAACAGAAAGATTCGTCCATGTCATTGTGACATTAAAATTTAATGATCCAATGGAATAGTTGAAGTCAAAATCAAATTTTATGGTTATAATTAGATAAATTTAAAGTTTAGTATTAAAAACTATACATCACATAAAGTTTAATGATATATAAGGTAATTTACCCTAAAAAAATGTTTATTTACCTGTTCTTGGTGATTTTCCCGATAAATCACCCTTTAAATGTTTATTTACCTGTCAGGCACCGTTCAGCCTATATTTCCTGATCTAACACCCTTTGTAGTAAGGCGCGCCCCGGAGCCACGCTTTACGCTGATTTGGCGCCACGTGGGTAAGGCGCACCCCCTGAAGCGCGCCTTACACTGACATGGATACGCGCTGGCTAAAGCGCGGCCCCTGGGGCGCGCCTTACGCCACGTAGAGTAAAGCGCGACCCTCGGAGCGCACCTTTGCTTTTTACATTTTTAAATCAGTAACTTGTCCATATCAAAAAAAAAATATTTCATCAGTATCATTTATGAACCCGCCAATCTCAATACCAAAACATGGGTTACATCTATGTCAGATGGTGACAGACATCTCAGCCCGCTAGATCTTCCAATTGCTCGCAGAAAATCTTTGCAGAGATTTTTGGAAAAGCGCAAAGAGAGGTAAATAAAGTTCCTGAGTTTTTACAACTTGTAGAGCTTATTACGAAATCTGGCTAAAAATAAATTATTTATTTAGTAGCTTATCTATTCTTGTAGTTTTATTTTGGTCACATAATTATTCTTTTTAGATCATATATAATGTTATTTTTGGTACCATTTTAATCATATATTGTTAAAAGATTAATTGTGACATTGAAAAATAAAAAAATTCATCATCTTAATGGTTTATCTATTGTTATAACGGCAAGTAATTAAAATTAAATTAAAATATAATAATAAATATAATTTAAAAATAATATAATTAAATATGTAGAATTGAATTAAAATATAACATTATATATGATTAATTAAGTTGGAAGAATAGATAAATAATTAAATATGTAGTTTACCTTGAAAAAAAACATATGCTGGTTGAAATCATTATGTATTTTCATTCAATCTATCAAAATAATAATGTTTTTCAGGTTGATTTGTGCATCCCCATATGTTACTAGTTCAGTGCACCTTAAAACATGTGTTTGTTGACGTCGTTGGAGTTGATGGAGCCACTTTTAATCTAATTTTAGGTTTCCATAGCCGCGTTAACCATGTCAGATAGTAATATTATTATATACGTAAAGAATGGCTAAATGATGCTGATGAAATAATTTCTTTTGATAATGGATAAGTCACCGATTTAAAAATGCAAAAAGCAAAGGCGTGCCCCGGGGGCCGCGCTTTACCTTACGTGGCGTAAGGCGTGCCCCCATGGGCCGCGCTTTAGCCAGCGTGTATTCATGTCAGTGTAAGGCGCGCTTCAGGGGGTACGCCTTACCCCACGTGGCGCCAAATCAGCGTAAAGCGCGGCTCCGGGGGCGCTTTACTGCAAAGGGTGTTAGATCGGGAAATATAGTCTGAACGGTGTCTGACAGGGAAATAAACATTTAAAGGGTGATTTAACAGGAAAATCGCCCAAGTTCTTGCTTTCTTCGGCGGTCTAACATTGAATATAGTGCTGCCGTCATCCGATGAATAATATACAATTGGGCAAAACTCACGTAATAATGCATTGAAAATAAAAAATTCACCAGATATTGCTTTCAAAGAATTAATTGTTGAAATGGGGTGATTGCTACAGTGATCTTGAAGGTCGCCAGGTGGTCCAAACGACCTATTCAGGTCGTCATGGAAGTCGTACGACCTCCTCTTCTTTTGTTTTGTTAACACACGTTAATTTATTATATTATTATAGTGGGTTAGAATTAGGTAACGTGTAATGTAGTGGGCATGAGGTTTTGTATTTTTTTAACATTATGTTGTTTTCAGTTTTGATTTTCAAGGATCAGATTTCCTCCACAAAGTGCTTTATCATAAACCAAAAACTTTCCATTTGTCCAACTACAATTCCATGTAATTTGAATAATTTAATAATAGTTTATTTACCTAAAAATAATAAAATTCCATGTAATATAAGGAGAAACATTGTTCACATATGCAATTATTTGGTCCCTCCCAAAGAATTATTTGAAATATTTATGCTTCTTCAACGCCTTGTATGTATATATATATATATATATATATATATATATAATAAAATATACAACAAATAATATAAGTAACTATTGATTTTATGAACCCTAAACCCAAAACCTCAAACCCTAAAATATTTTGGTTATTGATTAAAATCCTAAACCCTAAACCATAAATCTTAAATCCTAAACCCTAACCATTCTCCCTCCAATCAATTTCTTCTTATAAAAAACAAATATGTAACCACAATCATGGTAGATATCACCATCCTCTACCCCTTTCATTGCCCTCAACTTACCATGAATTTATAAAGGTTTTCAATAATAACCAAAATATCTTAGGGTTTAGGGTTTATAAAATCAATGGTTAGAGTTTAGGGTTTAGGGTTTAGGATTTAGGATTTAGGATTTTCAATAACCAAAATATGTAACCACCATCATGGTAGATACCACCATCCTCTATCTCTTTCAATGCCCTCAACATACCATGAATTATAAATGTTTTCAATAATAACCCT